ATAAACGGTTATAGCGAATACGTTTATTAAATTATTAGAATAAGTGAGGTTATGGAAGCCATTACATTTTGGTGTTTGAGAAGAAGACGCGATGGGAGACCGTTACGGTATCGAAAATAACCCATGCCAGATTTCCCAAGAAAATACATAAGCACATTCATTAACGGCGAAAGTTCAGGGCAACTGTATTAATTTCAGAGATGTAAGCTCCATTTTAATGCCTACAGCAAATGAAGGATTGAAAACCAAATTTATTCTTTACAAGAAGATATTTTGAAAATCTTTGCTTACCTTTCATTAATTCAAAACCTTTCAGGACATAAAACTATTTGTACGAATTATAAAATATGGCAAACTATTATATCCAAAATGAAACGTGTTAATAATTTAACATGTCGGTTATCCGAGAGTAAATCAATAAGACACAATCATGATGATGCTTAATTGAAAGCTGACTAATTTTTATTGCTGAAACTTACGCAGAAGGAGTTTTTGAGTCTTGCCCGTCAACACATATCTTCGCCTGGAATTCCTCTCGAGGCTCAATGGAAACCTCAACAGGCTATTGGTTTGATGATACTTAATCATCAGTGATACTAGAATATTGAATGTAACTCATAAAAGGAGCAACTAGGCAGAGGTGAAATTCGTCGAAGTTTCGGTAACATATTTGATTAAAATACTGAAATGCAATGTTTATCCACAGTATTACAAAAATATCTAGTTTAAAATTAGGTTTGTAGACATTACACCTTAGATCGATAACACTTAATGAGTTTATACAGCAAGAGATATTTGTGTTGGGCTGAAACTGTTGCTTTTGGTGATATTTTTATTTAAAACTCTGAGCACCTTGATTCTTAGATTGCAGTCTGTACATGCAGGTCGAGGCCTCGAATCATATATCTCACTATAGGATCACACTCGTCAATAACGCCCAGCAGGATCCGGAATTTATCAGAGACTTAGGTCAGCAGTGCTGGCCTAAATCTACTTATCTATTTGGGTTCAAATCGGTTCATGTTGACTATATTATTCAAGTTTTGTTTTAAATTGAAAAGTAAACATTCACTTAGATTTTGGCTCATTGAAACCGTCACTTATAGAAGATAGATCTATATGTCATGTACTATTAGCCTGCGGCCTCTGACTACATTACCATGCATGGGTTTGGTCAGAATTTTGTCCAAGTAAATATAAAGACGTAATTTTAATTCATGAAATTTTATTTTCTTTGGATTATTTCTAAGTTTGTTTAAAAGTAGTCTAAAAGCCACTGTTATTTAAAACCTGTTTGTCCTAACTCAGTAATTACGATGCGCGACTTGATTCATTTAAATTAACGAACGAGTTTTTATGAGGCAATCTTTCAGCGTCAAAAGTAGCAATCGGAGTGTCGACAATGTTCATGAAATTATCGTTGTGTCATGATTCACATGGTGATGTCAAATTATCACTTTTAGAAAGAGAATTCGGCCATTTTTATAAATATTGCTGATATTTGACTGCATCGTTTGTTTACGCAATTTCGCTGCCATTTATCGAATGACTTGTATATGTCCATTAAATTGCATATAATCAAAGTAGAGCCCAGTCTTGAACAAGTTCCGTTGACAGCCACTTGTTTTTATAAATTTTCATTTATATTTTCTCCAACACCACTTTGTAACTCATTGTATTTGTATGTGCATTTTCATTATAATTTTCATAAACTTAAGGGTTTGTTGTCGTTTGATTTAATATATTCATGCATGTGTTTATGTGTTTTTGTACATCAGTCTATGGAAATGTTTTATCCAAGCGATGTTACTTGTTTTTATAGATTTTCATATATACTTTCCTTCACCAACTTTGTATTTTATGTATTTTCACTTCATACTTTTTCATAAACGTAACGGCTTGTTGTCAGTTTGATTTGGTATTTTGTGTAGGTGTGGTTTTGTACAGAATATTTTCTTGCGTGTTGTTTTCGCATTTAATAGCAATATGCAACCGAACGAAGGCTACTTTTTTTTGTTGAATTGTTAACGTGTGCGGCACTAATTTTCTTAACAGCTGTTTCATATGTAATTCTCCATGTAAAATATGAAGTACTCGTTCGTCTAATATGCCTATGGCATTATCACTTTCACGCTAAATCAATTTTGGATCTTCACTAACAATACTAAGCACTTGCTCAATGATTGCTGGTGTGGCTGCGGTTTGTGGTCGTCCTTCGCGTGGATCGATCGGCTCCAAGCCTAATACGACGAAAAAACGCCCAAAATTCAAATGACCTGTAACTTTGCATGTGTTCTCACGAGAAATGTACCAACTTGAGAAAAAAAAATTTGGTGCTCTTTCTTGGTGAGCAGTGCTCAATTTTCAGCAACCTGTAGATATTTCCGAAATATTCAACGAGTTTTATTATTTATCGTAGTCGATTTCTACAATATTTATCTTTTAAAACACCATAATGGTGTACATTTACTGTTATATTTTTCTGTTATGCTTATGTTCAAATTAAACAAAAACGTGTGCTTTTGTTTCCGAGCCAAAAAAATAGAATCAAGGAATAAATGTATCAATTATAGGCGTTATTTAGTGGATCGTAAGTATATAATCTGTAGCTATCCAAAGAGAATTGCAAGTAGAAATTTCTTCGCGAACTGTTGCGCGTCGGCTTGTAAAAAAGAATTTCTTCGGAAAATTGTACATAAAAATTCCAATAATGACAAAAAAGACAGCAAAGCAATCGGATTTCTTTTGCTTTAGTGCACATTAATTGGATCGGTGAAGACAATGCAAAAAAGTGGAATAAAGTCCTTGGGTAGATGAATCTAAATAAATATGGTAGGTTGCGATGGAAATGTTTGGGTTCGATGTTCAAAGAATGCTGAAATGAATCCTCGGTACACCACAAAACTTTCAAGCACGAAGGTGCTAATATCATGATATGGGGATGTTTTTCGTGGTACGGAGCTGGACCAGCTGGTACGCTGTTTTGAATTCGGGAAATCATGGAATTAAAATTTTAGAAAATATAATGCTTCCATATGCTGAATATAAGATGGCTTTAATTTGGCAGTTCCAGCATGAGAATTGCATACTTCGGGCGTAAGACTTGGCTACAGTATCAAGCAATCGATGTTATGACTTGACCGACGAAACTTCCTTTAAATCCTATAAAAAATAGATTGTAAAGGAAAATTTGGGACTCATAAAACCACAAAGTAGGGAGGAACTATGGGGAAAAGTTAAAGAGGTTTGGTATTCAATACCGAATTCAGTCTGTAAAGCTCGAGTGAAATCTATGCCGGAAAGGTGCACTGCCATACTCGCAAATAAAGGTTTTTCAATAAAATTACTTATTGGCAACTTATATGCATTTTTAGTTATAATAGTTTGCGAGTTTTGGTTCCATGGTTCTATTTTATTGTCAATTGAAGTTCCTGACAGTTCCTTCAAATGTTATCTGCTAATAATAATTAAATTTATTTTAAGTTATATTTGCTTTTGAAATGTTTAAAATAAGTTTTATTACTTAAAAAAATAATTGTTTTCTCCTAAGAACTGTGGTAACACTTTTTTTTCCAATATTTGTGAAGAAAATTGTGTTTCCATTTTATTGTCAGTAACTGTATGTATATGGAAGTACAAAAAATTACGATATGAATTAATAAAATTAATAATTAATTAATAAACAAAAACCTATGATCATTAATATACAAATTTTCAAAAAAGGCAACGTAAATTTTCCGAATTTGCGAGTATTCCTCAAGTTCACTTTCTTTCCAACTTATGTCTTCCTTCATAGCCTCAATCAAAGTAGCTGGGGAAAACTTTTTATTGCAATAGGGAAGTTTTATCTTTATTAACATAATACAATAAAAACATAGAACTTAAAGAAAAACAACTCTTAACAAAATTAGATTTTCAAAGCAAATGTCTAAACTGACACTTGATTTATCCTCTAAGCTTGAATAAGCAGTGTATTTATATACGTGCTACAAATCAAAACCGGTATCACAATATTCTCACAATATTCACATTACATATCATAAGCTTTGAAAAACTGTAGAATGTATTTACATCATAACTCAAATGGGATGTGGAATTTGTTAATACAGAAACTAATTGTATCTTAATCAAAAGTTCAGCCGAGCTTCTGTTCAAGTAGTCATCGTAGAAGTTAGTTATATCCGATGGCTTTTGAATATTTTCAATTAATTTACTGATGTAAAAGATCTCCGAGTTTCGCATTTCCTGATGAGATCAAGACGAAATATATCGTCATTCGAAATAACTTTTTATATTTTAACCTGAGTTGAGTAAAACCACAATCACGCAATGTGGGTATCGTACTTTAGATCCCACCGTTGCGTAGAACCAAGCAAGGTTACATTCTATAAAGTGTGCCAGAGGTGACAGATATTTATAAGACCGAACTACTTCTAAATTTTCCAGTATTTTAAACATTTTGCTCAATATGATATTAATTGGTCTACGCTAATTGAACGATCCCACAAATCAAATAATGCTCCCGTCCATCCAATTAAAATTAATTAGAGAGACAAACTTGGGTTGAATTGTATATGTCAAATTATATTACTATTTTGAGTCCAAAACGTCTAAATTAATTTAGTGAAGTTTACGACATCTAACGAGTACACCCCAATAAATTGAATATATACATTTCCAATCCAACACTAAGAAGACTATGAATCGCAATTGCATATAAAGAGTTGCAACTTTTTATCTATCAATAACTGCCTAACAGCCACTGTTCCTGACTCAGATGTGTTCTAAGTCAAGTATAACCTCAGAAACTTGCATTCAAGCAATAACTTTCGCACGAACCGGTCAAACTGACGCTGAAATACTAAATAAAATTATGTGGCCGGAAGAATTAATAAGATCAACTTTTCTACGCCACTACATTGATAGTGCTTGCATAAGTAGTAATACATATGAATTTTGCATTACTAACTAATTATAATCGAACGCTGCTCTTTTTCCAGTTTTACTACCAATCAGCTGATGCCTGCTATCAGAAACAATATTGCCTAACGCCACTCAACTACAGCGGACGCTATGTGGAAGATGAGATTTATGGATACATGTCCGATGAGGCCAAAACGCTTTGCGATGGTTTTTGTCATCATAACAGTACATTGCGATTGCGTTGTTGCGCATACGATGCTAAAGTCAAATTGGAAAGAATATCAGAACAAGGTATCGAGCGATTGCCTATTACTACATTGAAAAGAGAGGAATGATAACATCAAAGAACTGCAAAATTTTTTTTATATGTTTCAGTATGCACATACAATCATTTATTACGACGTTTCATCATACATGGCGTTCTAGTCAAAGACAACGAATTTCCTTTTATGGTAGGTATGAGACTAGTATGTGCGGAAGGAGTAATAAAATGGTGGTCATGCGAGATCATATCTTTGGAGCATATATTTAAAGTTTTACAACATTTTTTTTTTCCAGGCTGCTTTGGGTTGGCGCGTTAAGAAAGAAACTACTGGAAACACGACTATAGTTTACAAATGTGGGGGCACTATATACGATCGCGGTTATGTAATCACTGCTGCGCATTGTCTCTATCATTCAGGTAGCAAATTATGAAGAAAAACGAGCTTTTTATGTACTATTAAATTAAATATTAGTGATCTACCTGTGGTAGTACGTCCCGGTGGCTTCGCTTTGAATGATACTGAGGCTTGGGACTTGGAAATCGAAGAAGTTATAGAGCATCCCAATTATGATTATCCAAATGTATACAATGACATTGCAATTATACGCCTAAGGACACTGTTTAAGTAAGAGGATGCTTTTTTAAAATAATTTATTGAATAGATAAAAATTTAATATTTTTATGACCAAAAAGTGGAAACCCGTTTCATGATGAGCCGGCATGTCTTTGGGGTGATCCGGGCTCCGCACATAATGTTACAGCCATGGGCTACGGGAACACTCAATTTGGTGGGTATTAAAAATTTCTATTAGTGGTACCCCTTCACCCTTTATATTAACCGTAAGCAGCTGGCGTATCCTCCCCCTTATTGATGAAAACAAATTTATCAACAATTGAGAACAGCGAGTGCCAATTACACTATGAGCCAGACAGCGGTGTGCTGAGTGATGGCATTCTATCGACGCAGATATGCGCGAAGGATCATGAGAAATTGCGTGACACATGTCAGGTGGGATTACAAGTTATTATTCTTTATTTGAAATTAAATTTATTTAATTTTCATTACTGCAACAGGGTGACTCAGGTGGACCAGATATTAAATTTAGCAAACAGACAGATCTTAATCCCATGTCTTATGTTGTTGGCATCACTTCCTTTGGCATCGGTTGTGGCACCGGCATGCCTGGTGTTTATACGCGTATTTCTGATTATATTGATTGGATTGAAAATGTTACCTATCGAACTGTGCCAATGTGAAAAAGGAATAATATAATAAAGAAATTTCAAGCAGGTAAAACGGAGTTAAAAAATAACCTTAAGAAGGAAATGGATTGAAATCACTTTCCCAATTTTGTATATCATAATTTTTCTACTTACATTTCATTGAAAATATATAGTAATCTATATGAGCACAGGCTACAGACATTTTGGCAATAAATTTTGTTTTATGGACCATATGAAAATGTTTTTCAAAATAGACTACATTGGCAATTCAAAAGGAGGTTATTAATGTTTCTGGAATAAATATTGTTGTGGCTTGGTTATTTAGCATTGGCAATGATTTGAATACTTCATATCATTCATAGTCTAAAAATACAATTTTCAGCATATTCTAGAGAATTCATTAGTTCCTTTCTAAACTCAAATGAATTTAGTTCTTAACTGCAATTTTTTTCAAAAACATCGACAAAACCATCTACCTTTTAAAGACCATATCGACATACGTATAAATAATTATAGTTGTTTTATTTTTCATAATTTAAAAAAAAATCTACAAGCAATCTTTACATATTTACATCAACAGCCTGAAATCTTTACTCGTATACCTTGGAAACGAACAACAAATTTTCACACAGTGTATAGAGAAACAAATACTTCTTAAGAAAAACAACACACAAAAATTTCGATAAAAAAAAATAATAATTAAGATAATTATGAATGCATTTCTTTCGTATGAAACCTGTTAGCAAACTGTT